ACTCTGCAACACTCCTCATCAGGGCCGGCGTTATCCATTTTGTTGCCCAAAGCAGAAATGCTTTGTCGTGCCCCATACGGCTCCCACACCACCCTTGACAAAAATGAACAATAACTGAATGTTTTGTCAGTTTTGCTTTATTTTGTCAATATTAAAATATTTCAAAAACGTTCAGAAAAATAAGAGATAAATAATTATGATTTAGTCTTTATAAAACACTGAGAATGGCACCAAATACTCAAATAAATAAAAAATAAATATTTTTTAAAATGGCACGACCATTAACAAATAAACATGGTTGATCATCTGAAACTTTCACCTGGCTTTGAACATATTGAAGCATTGATACTGTATTCAAAAATACAAGAAAATATCCAGGGATTCTACAGTAAAAAAATAGTTTTGAACCATGGTACAAACATGTTTTAAATTATGTTATTATGTACGCCTATATTTAAAATATATGAAAATTTCAGTATTCTACTGTTACAGACAAGGACTGATAGGGCACTATATAAATATTCTGGACATCACGTGAAAAGTGAATATGAAAGTGAGAAATGTTGAAATATACAGTTTCACCAATAGATGTCGCTCTGGCCCTATGAACATCTCGAAAATGTCGGCATTGTCGTTTTCATACAAAACCACTTTGTCTCCTCACATCCCATTTCATTTTCATAGCGTAACCAATGTGCAGGTCATAACTTTTCCACAACAGCGTTTTGGGTTGTTTTGGGTGGGCTTCTATAACGCAATCGCCACTAGCATTTCTTGAGGTACAGCAGGTTTTTTTGGTACGAGTGGAGGAAGGCCCATCCTGAGACCAAGAGTTTGACGTCATGTATTTGGAAAGAAATCGAACTTTCATCACTGAAGGTGAAGGCAGGGATTAAATTTAGATTTTATGCACATGTGTAAATGGTTTAAAAAATTCCTTTATAAATCTCGTTTAATCTTAAATTGCATTGCTATATTTTTCAATACGAATTACTTGTTAAAGTTTTGTGCCTTTGTACAATCAGTGGGATCATTTGCAATGCATATATGTGAATGATCAAAGTAAATTGCACATTTGTTAAAGGAAATCTAAGGTGATTCATGAAATCTTTTGCAAAAGATATGTTCATCAAATTTAAACATTTTCCTAATGTTCTTGTGCTTCTTTAGACCAAAACAAAGGGAAAACATATTCATTCATTCATTCATTTTCCGATCCGCTTATCCTCACAAGGCTCATGGGGGGTGCTGGAGCCTATCCCAGCTGTCTTCGGGCAGTAGGCGGGAGACACCCTGAACTGGTTGCCAGCCAACCACAGGGCACACAGAGACAAACAACCATCCACGCTCACACTCACACCTTGGGACAATTTAGAGTGTTCAATCAGCCTGCCGTGCATGTACATATTGAAGCATTGATACTGTATTCAAAAATACAAGAAAATATCCAGGGATTCTACAGTAAAAAAATAGTTTTGAACCATGGTACAAACATGTTTTAAATTATGTTATTATGTACGCCTATATTTAAAATATATGAAAATTTCAGTATTCTACTGTTACAGACAAGGACTGATAGGGCACTATATAAATATTCTGGACATCACGTGAAAAGTGAATATGAAAGTGAGAAATGTTGAAATATACAGTTTCACCAATAGATGTCGCTCTGGCCCTATGAACATCTCGAAAATGTCGGCATTGTCGTTTTCATACAAAACCACTTTGTCTCCTCACATCCCATTTCATTTTCATAGCGTAACCAATGTGCAGGTCATAACTTTTCCACAACAGCGTTTTGGGTTGTTTTGGGTGGGCTTCTATAACGCAATCGCCACTAGCATTTCTTGAGGTACAGCAGGTTTTTTTGGTACGAGTGGAGGAAGGCCCATCCTGAGACCAAGAGTTTGACGTCATGTATTTGGAAAGAAATCGAACTTTCATCACTGAAGGTGAAGGCAGGGATTAAATTTAGATTTTATGCACATGTGTAAATGGTTTAAAAAATTCCTTTATAAATCTCGTTTAATCTTAAATTGCATTGCTATATTTTTCAATACGAATTACTTGTTAAAGTTTTGTGCCTTTGTACAATCAGTGGGATCATTTGCAATGCATATATGTGAATGATCAAAGTAAATTGCACATTTGTTAAAGGAAATCTAAGGTGATTCATGAAATCTTTTGCAAAAGATATGTTCATCAAATTTAAACATTTTCCTAATGTTCTTGTGCTTCTTTAGACCAAAACAAAGGGAAAACATATTCATTCATTCATTCATTTTCCGATCCGCTTATCCTCACAAGGCTCATGGGGGGTGCTGGAGCCTATCCCAGCTGTCTTCGGGCAGTAGGCGGGAGACACCCTGAACTGGTTGCCAGCCAACCACAGGGCACACAGAGACAAACAACCATCCACGCTCACACTCACACCTTGGGACAATTTAGAGTGTTCAATCAGCCTGCCGTGCATGTTTTTTGGAATGTGGGACGAAACCGGAGTACCCGGAGAAAACCCACGCAGGCCCGTGGAGAACATGCAAACTCCACACATGGAGGCCGGAGCTGGAATTGAACCTCTGCACTGTGAGATCGAAGCGCTAACCACTGGCCCACCGGGCCGCCGGAAGACAAATTATTTTTTTTTATTTATATCAGAGTATGGTATAATTTTAATGGTCTGGCCCACTTGACATGTACCGAGGCCGTATGTGGCCCACAATGTGAAATGAGTTTGACACCCCTGATTTAAAACATTGTCTTACCTGCGAGTGACGCAAAAGCATCATCTTGCTGTTTTTTTTTCTTTTGCTCTTTTTCGCCCCAACTCTTGATGCCTTTTCAACGACATGTCCAGATATCCAAAAATAAACTTCTGCCAAATTTGCAATTGAAGCATAATGGAACAAACTGCTCGGGAATGTAAGAGAGAGATGTGGAAGGGCACCAGAGCTAAGCCGACGAGAGGTCTGCACAATAAATTAATCTGTTTTTGCGTAAATAAGCCTTCGTTATTTTTGTATTACATATATTTACTAACATACTTTACAAATTCTTCATTTCTGTCAGGGGTGATGTGGGTAGTGTGTGTGTGTGTGTGGGGGGGGGGGGGCAGGCCAAAGCATTTATGCTTAGGGCACCAAAATGCCTACACCACAAGTAATGTCAAAGCATCCAAAGCTTTTAAGTAGCTTACAAATGTATGGTCTGGTCACAGTATAAGGAGGTCGGAGCTTAGCATCAACTACTCTGTCACTGGCTCTTTCTTACCATTGTTCTTATGTGCTTGTTGCTTACCATGTTGAGATGTGTCATTTCCTTAACCTAGTTGGTATGTGCTTGTTGTTTACCATGTTGGTATATATGATTTCTATACGCATTGTTGGTATGTAACTATTGCTGAAATATACTACATTGTAATTATGCAGTTTGTTTATACAAACAGAGAAAAAGAAAAAAAAGACGCATCACACGGCTGTTTGATTTCTCTGAAAAATGTGATGGTTTTTCTGGCCTGCTCAACAACAAACAAAAAAATCAATATTTCATAGGTGTTGCTGTCCTGTATAGCATAGTTTCGATTTGTTGGGGGTATGTGTTCGTGTCCATGATAATGTTTTCCATCCTTTGCTGTAAATATGATGATGGAATTACAGTACTGTATCTGTTTTCAGTGACACTATTGCTGTCAAATGTAGCGCCAAAGTCCGGACAGAATGAGGATTCTAAAAACATAGACACAGATCAGAGGTTTTGTCACAAAAATAATTATTAACAAAAATGCAAGACCGACAAAGTACAACGAAGGACGCTGGTAACAAAGAAGCATGAAAAGGCGAGAATAAACAAAAAGTGCTTGCAAAAGGCAAGGAACAATACAAACGAAAATTGCTTGTCAACTTAAAGGACAAGAAAATCCAATTCACAACTAACAAAAAATGAGTATACATAACAAGGAAAATACTGACTAGAACAAAAATGTTGGTGTAAAATAGTGACATCTTGGTCAGTTCCTTCACAAGAAATGGAAATCTCAGACTGTTGCTTGTAAAAATCTAAATTCATGAAACATTACATGACTGAATTTAACTAATACATATCACCCATATGAATGAGTCAAGGTTTTGATGATTTTTTCTGTCTAGTCTATCTGAACATTGTCATTATCTTTCTACAACATTGTAAATGGTTAGGGTAGGCTTACATGAGGGGGAAAAATATTGACAAATTTGCGACTGATTTTGTTTTATTTTTTTACCAATGTTAGATGGGCTAATATCTCCCATTTTAATCTTTAGTCTGATTAATCGGTTGGGCCCAAAGCGTCACTATATGTTGCTAGCATAGATTGAAATATATCATTGTTCATCTAAAATGAATACAGTAATCAAATGTAATTTCAGAACGTAAACATACTTGCTCCGAGTACTTTTCAGAGAACAGATGTAAAACCTAACTACAATAATGTATTTTTGTTTGATATGATACAAAATATTGAAAAGGAATTTCTCACTCTTTCTTAGCTGTTGATGTTTAAATTTATATTTCCTCATATATTCGCAAGCATCCTGTGCATAGCGCCCCCTCTCCATAAAACCTTGTGTCGCCCGTGGGGTGAGCCAAATATTTGCTGGTTCAAAACAAAAGCATGAATAACGTTAACTTAAGGGTTAAGTATTAAAATTATTGTTTAAAAATAATAAATTGTCAGACTTGACATATCGCTCTGCAGTACGAATCCTTCACCGACTGGTGACATGTTTATCTTGACAAGATCCAACTGTCTTAATTTGTAAATCTTCTCTGGTTGTCATTTCTCACATTACAAGGCAATTCGCTATTGACGAAGCCGTTAAATCAAATCCCATCGCAACTGACGAATCGGGAAGCAGAATGGGGACGAGCCCTCCGCGGCAGTTTGTTTTCCTCTCCATAGTCGCCCAACCCCATTCAACACTGAAGTCACTTGACAGTCAAGTCAGTAGTTGCTTTGTCCGGTGCGTAGTAACATTGCTGATGCTATCGCAGTTTCTGGAATTCTACTCAAAAGCAAATACTCATAGAATACTTTACAAGGTCGAAAGTCCCTTATGCACAGGGACCACCTTTGGTAAGAGCTTATGAGTTGGATACGACATTGTTTCGACGTGTTTGGTGTTGGAGTGTGACCACTCTGTGCCATGTACTGTATCAAGCAGTTGGAAAACGTGTTTACGTTGGTGGGGAGGCGCGTGCCCGTTCATGCGTTAATGCACCGTGTTGAGGATTGGCAGAAAAAAAGCAGGCGCAATCCTGGGTGTTGTAACGAGGCTCTTTGCGTGACTAGAACGCTAAAGTTTGGTCAGGCTCCTTGTTATAGCCTGGATCCGGCAGGCTGTAAAAGTTGATTGATTTCTGCAGAAGATGACTAATTACGACTCACAGCACATGCATGATACGCATCGTGTCCAATCGTGATACTGGAGCCTACTCCTCGGAAATAAAAATATATAATCTTAAATAGAGAATAAGTACCATTATATATCATTTAAAATAATGTTTTAATCTAACCTGACAAGCGATGTAACCAATTCTGGCTCTCTAACTGTCCCGTAAACAAGCAGCGCCAAACATTTACACACGCTGCCCAATGTGGTGTTTCCTACAATACGTGACGTTTTTTCCTGGCAGGGTTTATTCTCGGTCACTCAGACCATGCAAGCAGGGGCCCAGGATAGGGAGTATGGATTGACCCAGGAAAGAAATGAAATATGGTAATTTTCCAATGCCCTCAGCGCCCTATCAATTTTTAAAACATTTATTTCTGGACCATTAATGTAGTATGTTCAACTTGGCAAAGAGCAGCAGGTGGAGGAAACGGTTTTAGCTTCTGAAACTATCATTTTTGTACACCGGGGCAGTATGAAGAGAAATTATCCTGGACATAATGTATTTGTGTCCTTGCACATCTTGAAATGCTCCATATGAAAGGGATTCATTATTGTTCCTAGGCGTACTTGCAGCAGCTGTGTCAAATGCTAATTTTAGTATATGCCACGGGCCGCTAAAAATGGACAGTGGGCCGCAAATGGCCCCCGGGGACTAATTTGGACACCGCTGCTGGAGCGCACCTCAGGAGTCGAAAGTTGGATTTTTCTGCAAATTCTTACGATGTGTGTGGGTTTTTTGTTTCTATTTAGATTGCCTGGCTGGATGTTGCTGGCCCTGATGATAACTTGTCCTCTGTGACATGTTTCACTCCAGAAAGAATTCTGATGACCCAGATTACAGTTGTCCCCCAAAAAAAGAAAAGCAAAGAATAAAAATCTGAGCAAGTTTTGAGCAATTTGGCACTTGCCCGTGATGGTAGATATCTCTAAGGAGACAAATGCTTCTCAGCGCTCTGACACAGTGACAGAGTTTGACTGCCAGGTGGCAACATCACTATTTTCAGAGGATGACCTGAGTGAGTCCTCAGGCCCCCGTTCCTGTTCGAACTCAGACTCACAGATCCTCAGCTCCAGCTTTTGCAGCAACTCAAGTGCTGATAGCCAGGGCAGCATCCTGGACCACTTGCTTTCCCAAGCTTCTTTCGGAGGTACCAGCAATGTCCCGTCAACCACCACGGCACCTTCCTTCCACTGTGACTTACATAGTTACAGCACCTCGATAAAAATGGAAGGTTTTGACCTTTTGTGGTCAAATGCAAACAAGCACAATAGAGGGTCCTTCCAGCCTACGCTGGAAGAAATTGAAGAATTCCTGGAGGAGAATATTGAGGTTTTGAAGCAGGAAACACAAGTGGGTGGACTAAGTATCGAAATAACATCAGAGGACTATCTAGGTATCGATGTTGGATTGGAGTATTGTAGAGAGGCTTCCTCTGAGCCAACGGTAGAGTCTGATATCAAGTGTTCGGACCAAACTGTTTCTACTGCCAGTACTGTTAGCATGACCTCTGTTGAGACTGAAACCCTGTCATCAAACCACACACATGGATCCAACAAAGGCAACAAAAAGACCTCCGATGGCAACCCTTCACTGACTGACGCTAATAAAGAATGAACACCAGTCATCCTTCAGTTTCAGCCCCTTCACTCAAAGCGGGAGCCAGGAGTGGTGCCTCCGACACCTGCAACCCACCTCCCACGAAAGTCTCCCAGTGGCAAATCTTCACTGAATGACGCTAACAAAAAACAAACACCATTCATCCTTCAGATTCAACCCCTTCACTCAAAGCAGGGGCCGACAGTGGTGCCTCTTACACCTGTAGCCCAGCTCCCACGGCCTCCCGCAGCTTCAGACCTCAAATTTGCACAGCTACTGGTCAACATCCAAGGTCAGACCTTTGCCCTGGTACCGCACATTCTGCCTTACTCCCACCTTAACATCTCTTCAAAGTTTGTACGCATTGCTCCTGTCCCCAATGCAGCCAAGCCTCAAAACATTGGAGATAACTTGGCCAAACAAAAATCAGGGATTCTCATTGGAGGCCAAAAGTTTCAGAAGAACCCAGTAGGGGACCTTATTAAAATGCACAAATGCAATTTTTCTGGCTGCACCAAAATGTACACAAAGAGCAGCCACCTGAAGGCCCATCTAAGAAGACATACTGGAGAAAAACCTTTCGCCTGCAACTGGCAAGGATGTGGATGGCGTTGAGTACGAGATCTAAGAATGTCTCCAAAAAAAGCAGTATAGTTTGGTTCATAAGTTTGCTTTTTGTGTGTGTGTGTGTGTGTGTGTGTGTGTGTGTGTGTGTGTGTGTGTGTGTGTTTCCATTGTAAAGTGCTGTGTGGCGCTTTTTTGTGAGTTGTGATATTGGTAGAGCTCTCCATGCTGCAGTCTGGTTGACATAAAATAATCACTTCATTGTTACAGTGGAAAGGACCACCATCAGTCCATTTCCAAAACTGCTTATCATGTTCATGGTCGGCGGTCCGATGGTCCAGTGGTTAGCGCGTCAATCTCACAGTGCGGAGTTTGCATGTTCTCCCCGTGCCTGCATGGGTTTTCTTCGGGTACTTCGCTTTCCTCCCACATTCCAAAAACATGCGTGGCAGGTTAATGGAACACTCTAAATTGTCCATAGGTGTGAGTGTGAGCGCGGATGGTTGTTCGTCTTTGTGTGCCCTGCGATTGGCTGGCAACTGGTTCAGGGTGTCCCCCGCCTACTGCCTGAAGACAGCTGGGATAGGCTAGAGCATGCCCCCGTCACCCTCGTGAGGAGGATAAAGCGGATCGGAAAATGAATGAGTAAATGAATGTTCAGGGTCGCTGGTGAGCTGGAGCCTATCTCAGATTACTTCTGGTGTCAGGCAGACTACACCCTGGTGGGGGTGGGGGGTGGGGGGGTAACGATATCCAAACATATCGATACAATATCACTATATGAACCTCATGATACGATAATTATTACAAAATTGCGGGGAGGTTGCCGATATTTAAAAAAAAATCTCATGAAACTGTATAAAAGCTCACAATATTGTGAAAAACTTTACCGTGGTGGAGGGGTTTGTGTGTCCCAATGATCCTAGGAGCTAAGTTGTCCGGGGCTTTATGCCCCTGGCAGGGTCACCCATGGCAAACAGGTTCTAGGTAAGGGACCAGACAAAGCACGGCTCAAAGACCCCTTATGATGAGTACAATTAATGGATCTCAGTTTCCCTTGCCCAGACGCGGGTCACCGGGGCCCCCCTCTGGAGCCAGGTCTGGAGGCGGGGCTCGTTGGCGAGCGCCTGGTGGCCGGGCCTACACCCATGGGGCCCGGCCGGGCTCAGCCCGAAGAGGCAACGTGGGTCCCCCTTCTCATAAAACCAGGGCCCAACTAATTAATCTCCCGCATTGAGAGATGGAGTGGCAAAAGAATAGATCAGGGACGTGCCCACACGTTGCATCCAAATTTAGGGAGCATCCAATCACTGTGTGAAGTAAGATACATATTTTGACATTTTGGTGTTTATGAATAATTTTTTGCAGTGCCACTACTAAAGTGGCATTATTTTTATGTTCAGCGAAAACTATGCCCCCAACACTACCTCTCGAAAGCGCACAATGGTTTGTTTATCACTGCATCATCCATCATTCAAAAGCACACAGATCAGATCCGAAAATGCGGTTCCACAAAGCTGCTCGTGATCTGAAAGAATTTTGCTGCAAAGTCCCGATTGTTTTTGTGGAAATTATTATTATTCGGGCCCTAGCAGCAACCGCTGCAATATTCCTATTGTTTTTGGAGGAATTATGATAATGATTTAATATCATGAGGCCCTGAGCAGCGACCACTGCGAGCTCAGCTATTGTTTTAGTAGGAATTGATGCGTGATTGGGGGGAACAGCTCCCCCGATCAGGACCTGAGTTGTGTTCTGTTATTGGACTTCTCTGCCAGATGTTCAAACATAAGAGTGTCCATATGTGGACTTGGCACCAGGACATCCATGGCCGAGTTTCGACGACTGATTTTGTGGTCGTATCATCTGATTTGCGGTGGCGGTTGTTTTGGACATTCAGGTGAAGAGAGGGGTGGAGCTGTCAACTGCTCACCGCCGGGTGGTGAGTTGGCTCCGATGGTGGGGGAAGATACCAGTTCGACCTGGCAAACCCAAACGTATTGTGAGGGTTTGCTGGGAGTGTCTGACGGAATCCCCCATCAGAAGAAGCTTCAACCCTCCGGGGACATTGAGTTCCAGTGGACCATGTTTCGCACCTCTATTGTTGAGGCGGCCAATCGGAGTTGTGGCCGTAAGGTGCTTGGTGCCTGTCGTAACGGCATCCCCAAACCCGCTGGTGGACACCGGCAGTAAGGGATGCTGTCAAGAAAAAGTCCTTTATAGCCTGTGGGACTTTGGAGGCAGCTGAGGGATACGGGCTGGCCAAGTGGAATGCAGTTTCAGCAGTCGTTGAGGCAAAAACGCAGTCGTGGGTGAAGTTCGGTGAGGCCGTGCAAGCTGACTTCCGGACGGCTTCAAGGAAATTCTGGTCCACCATCCGACATCTTTGGAAGAAGAAGCAGTGCACTATTAACACTGTATAGTAGAGATGGGACACTGCTGACCTCAAGTCGGGACATTGTCAGTCAGTGGGCAGAATACTTCGAAGACCTGCTCAACTCCACCAACATGACTTCCTTAGAGGAAGTAGAGTCTGGGTATTCTGAGTTGGGCTCTCCTATCTCTGGGGTTTTAGTCACTGGGGTGGTTAAAAAGCTCCTCAGTGGCAAAGCCCCGGGGGGTGGATGAGATCCGTCCGAAGTTCCTCAAGGCTCTGAATATTGGTGGGCGGTCCTGGTAGACATGCCTCTGCAGCATCGCATAGTCATCAGGGAGAGTGCATCTGGATTGGCAGACTAGGGTGATGGTCCCTCTTTGTAAGAAGGGGGACCAGAGGGTGTTTTCCGACTACAGAGGGATCACACTCCTCAGCCTCCCCGGGTAAGGCTTATCCGGAGGTGCAGGAGAAGAGGGTCTGTTGGGAAGTCGAGTCTCAGATTCAGGAGGTGCAGTGTGGTTTTCGTCCTGGCCGTGGAACAGTGGACCAGCTCTACACCCACAGCACAGTTCTCAAAGGGGTATGGGAGTTCGCCCAACCAATCTGTGTTCATGTAGACTGAGAGAAGGCGTTCCACCGTGTCCCTCAGGTAGTGATCTGGGCGGGTGCTTCAGGAGTACTAAGCCCCCTTGTACGGGCTGTTCGGTCCCTCTACCACCGTTGAGTTTGGTCCGCACTGCCAGTAGTAAGTTGAATTTGGTTCCAGTCAGTGTTGGACTCTGCCATGGCTGCCCTTTCTCACTGGTTCTGGTCCCAGTCGAGGCGTTGAGGGGGTCTGGTTTGGTGGCCTCAGTATTGCATCTCTCCATTTTGCAGATAATGTGGTACTGATGGCTTCTTGAAGCCGTGATCCCAACACTCACTGGGGCAGTTCGCCACAGAGTTTGAACTGGTTGGGATGAAAATCACCACCTTCAAATCTGAGACCGTAGTCCTCAGTCAAAAAAGGGTGGAGTGCCCTCTTCAGGTCGAGGATGAGATATCTTGCCCCAAGTGGAGGAGTTTAAGTATCTTGGGGTCTTGTTCACGACTGAGGGCAGGAGGGAGCGAGAGATTGACAGGCGGATCGGTGCAGCGTCTGCTGTGATGCAGACGTTGTATCGGTCTGTCGTGGTGAAGAAAAAGCAGAGCTCTCGTTTTACCCGTTGATCTATGTTCATACCCTCACCTATATTCAAAAACAGTAGGTCATGACCGAAAGAACAAGATCCTGGATATAAGCAGCCAAAATTAGTTTCCTTTGCAGAGTGTCCGGGCTCTCCCTTAGAGATTGACGAAGAAGCTTGGCCATCTGGAGGGACTCAGAGTCGACCCGCTGCTCCTCCACATTGAGAGGAGCGAGCTGAGGTGGGTCGGGAATCTTATTAGGATGCCACCTGGCCTCTCTGGTGAGGTGTTCCGGGCATGTCCCATTGGCAGGTCCCGAGGATGACCATGGACATGCAGCAGAGAGAGGACGACCCAGGACACGCTGGAGAAACTATGTCACCCAGCTGGCATGTGAACGCCTCGGGATCCGCCAGGAAGAGCTCGAAGAAGTGGCTGGGGAGAGGGAAGTCTCGGCTTCCCTCCTAAAGCTGCTGCCCCCGCAACCCGACCCCGGATAAGCGGTGGAAAATGGATGGATGGATGGATATTGTGAAAAAATGTCAGAATTGTGTTTTGTGCAAAATAACAGCAGTTTCAAAGAAACAAGAATGGTCAGTCGTTTCATTGTCATGTGTTCTATCGGCGCAAAGTAACATGGTCCATTTAGCTCACAAAGTCATGCTTTTTGATGCAGATGTTGAAAAATATTTGCTGGTGTGTCTGATTTATGGGAGTGTTGATCACCGCAGTATTTGCGGTTCGAACATACTTTTGTCCATGTGAGCAAGAATCAGACCGGGTTTTCGCCTTAAATTTGCTTGTGTGTATGTTGCGTAGAATACCAAATACACATAAACAAGAGCAATTGCATGTAAATGTCTTGTTTATACAATGTTCATTAGTTGAGGTCATAATTATACGTAACAATAACCTCACTATACATAAATGACCTACAATAACTTAATACTGAGGCACTTACTTGCTAATGCACACACACATGAATCAAATCAACTTGTGGAGGAACTCAAAACATTCCCTTTCATCTGCCGATGAGCATGGCTCTTTAATGTAGGTGGCCAAAACATGCCAAATTCAAAATAAACTGCGCTAATAAACTAGTATGATATCAATATCGCAATACTGCCGTTTTCCTTCCATCCCTACACACTGGACTGGTCACCAGTCAATCTCAGGGATCATATAGAGAAAGACAACGATTTACAGTCATATTCACACGACACTGAATGGGAAGTGTCACTACACCACATCACTGTTGCACGGTGACAGGACATCAAAGTCAGGCATATGTACCTTGACACCAGGGGTGGGCAACTTAGTGTGGCCTCAGGCCACATTTTCTCCAATCAATCAAATCGCAAGCTGAAATTCCATATTCATCAGGCAAACCCTGCTTTTCTTACAAAAAAAAATTATTATTAGTAGGGATATAATGACATCGAAATCTCATGGATTTAAATTTTGGGCAATAAAAGAGAAGGAAAGGAAGACATTATTTTCAAAGGCACATCAAAAAAGAAAAAGAACAGCCCAGAACAAGAAAATAGTGAAGATGCATGGCCACTGTTACTTTTAACGTTACCAAGTCATGTTATGAATTTCAGTAACTTTCTTATCTTTCAAAATAATGTTGGGATTATAAAGCTGTATTTTAGACCAGGGATGGGCAACTTTTATTATTGCATTGGCCGGAAATGTTATCACAATACCACCTTGTGAACCAAACTTGAACATGCAGCCACTACATCCCTAATGACTTGCTTCTTATTCATGACTTTGCTGGACTGAATAAACTAAAAGATTACAACGAAGTGATAACCCTTTTTTGTTTTAGAACAACTCCAGTTTCAAGAACTGATTAGACACTTCAAGTGAAATGCAAGTTTGATGTGACTTTCAGCTATCCTTTTTAGTCAGGGTCGCCAAGCGAGTTAGTTGCTGATGCAGACAAGAAATATCGACTAGCTTAAACGTCTTGCTATTTTTCTCGGATAAATCCTCAATATTGATATAAATATGAAGATTAAATATGAAGTATTAAACCAGTCATGTACTTCTGACACTCTTCACTTCTGGCTTGTTTTAATGCGTTAACGTGAATATCATTATTTAAAAAGTACAAACCCAGTTCCAATGAAGTTGGGGCGTTGTGTTAAAGATCAATAAAAACAGAATACAATGATTTGCAAAATCTTGTTCAAGTTATATTTAATTGAATAGATCACAACGACGAGATATTTAATATTTAAACTGATAAACTTGATTGTTTTTAGCAAATAATCAACTTGGTATTTTGTGGCTGCTACACATTCCAAAAAAGATGAGACAGGGTCATGTTTACCACTGTGTTGCATCACCTTTTCTTTGAACAACCTTCAATAACCATTTGGGAACAGAGGACATTAATTCTTGAAGCTTCTTAGGTGGAATTCTTTCCCATTCTTGCTTGATGTACAGCTTCAGCTGTCCAACAATCCGGATTCTCCGCTGTCGTAGATTACTCTTCACAATGCGCCACACATTTTCAATGGGAGACAGGTTTGGATTGCAGGCAGGCCAGTCTTGTACCCGCACTCTTTAATTTCGAAGCCACTTTGTTGCAACACGTGCAGAATGTGGTTTGTCATTGTCTTGTAGCAGGGGTATCCAAGAAAGAGACATTGCGTGGATGGCACTAAACAGGATGTTCCTCCAAAATCCGTACGGACCTTTCAGCATTTATGGTGCTTTCACAGATGTGTACGTTACTCTATCCTATAACATTGGCACGATCTCATCCCCATACCATCACAAATGCTGGCTTTTGATCTTCGCATCCATAACAGCCCAGTTGGTACTGTTCAGCATTCATCAACTTTCTCAGTCTTGTTTGTTGTCTGTCCCAGCTTCTTGGAACGTCTTGCAGCCATAAAATTCAAAGTTGATGATTAACGTTTATCAGTTTGCCCATTAAATATATTGTCTTTGTAGTGTATTCAATTAAATATAGACTGAACATGATTTGCAAACCAGTGTATTCTATTTTTATTCATGGTGAACACATAATGTCCCAACTTCATTGGAATTCCTTTTGTATCAGTGTGCTACAAAATATGTGTTCCTTGACCGCAGTCATTTTAAGCATAAACACTTTACACTCCTTTTTTTTTTTTACTTTAACTATTGCAAGAGTGGCAGAGTTGCTGTTGCATTTGGTCAGTGTGTAGTGTTCTTCTTTCTGAATCATGTACGTCATTACATGGCAACACAATTAAAATAAACGGTGTCTCAGGACAGAACAAGATAACAAACGTGTTGCTGATCAAATGGTAGTGGTTAAAGATATTCCTAAATGTTACTTGAAACAGGATTTTATTCAATTTAATTTGCACTTCACTGTATTCCTTGAAGAGAACTTTTTAGAACCTTTTCCATGTTTCATTTTATTTCTTTATTTAAATACATTTTACTGTGTTCTATAGAAAATATGTATTTTATGAATGAATGGAAAAAAGAAAAAAGAAAACATCCACTAACCTCATTAATTTACAAGGAAAATGCTCTACTGGACGATTAAAATAATCTGTCATTGATTTCATAAAAATTGTATGCATCAAAAGTCCTTGTAGTACTGTATTGGTACTTGTATCGATATCAGTGACAACTCAAGAGCTGAGTACCCGTCCTGTCTGAAAAAAGTGGTATCAAACATCCCTAATTTTTGGTTTACATCATTTTGCACCAGGGAGCGCTGACTTTTAATTCTGATTTGAGATTTGCACAAGAAATTATATCCTACGGTAATGCACATTTATTTTATTGGCATTCCTTATTTAATCAAATGGCTTCTTTAATAGCTTATACAACTTATACAGAAATGATTAATGTATTCAATGTATTAAAAATACTATATACCCTGTTTTCCGCACTAGAAGGCGCACCTAAAAGTCTTCCATTTTCTTAAAAGCTCACAGTGCGCCTTAAAATCTGGTGCGCCTTGTGTATGGTCATTACGGTTAATTGTCGACCCCAAAATGGCTCCTTGCTGGAGACATGCAATAGAACACAGAAATATAATAGCGGCAAGAGAGTTCAAGTTAACGAGTCAATCAGTGTACATCAATCAGAGTTAAGGTGATAAATTCTCAACATTAATTAAATATAATAATAAATCAGAATTAAGTTGATAAATAGAGAAAGGTAATGCAATATCCATAATGAATACAAGAGAAAATTGACACAAGAGTGCTAGGGTGTGTATGTATAAAATCCCGATACAAACCAAAAGTTGTAAAAATATCACGGTTAAGGGTAAAAGCATGAGCCTTTATGGAGACTTCTTCCTTCTTTCTTTCTTTCTTTTCTGATTGATATAAAAATGATCTATTTATATATAAACACATAACACGGGGTAGGACTAGATAAGTTTTTTACTTCTTCCTACTCCCTTGAACATAATAATTGTTTTGAATGATGACTGATTTCTCTTTCCTTTTTACTATTTTACTGACCTTACTTTCTGTCAATTTATTACTGTATATGTTTTTATGTTCAAGAAAATTTAAAAAAACAATAAATAAATTTTAAAAAATGTTATAACTGTGTCGTTGCTTTATGAAATACGTTTTTATTGCAGCTCCGAAAAAAGGAGTGCTGTGGTGTTGGTTTTTTTAAAACGCACACTTTATTAATGTTTTTCACAGTATCAGCAAATACAGGTACGTCTTTGTTTCGTCTCCGTGCCTTCTTCCGTTCGACTCGAGAAGCGTTCATGACCGCCTCCGAAAAAACGTAAATTCACGATTACTTCAATGAAACGACGAAAATTGAAAATAATGCATCAAAATAGAAAATCAAGTGAGGAAATCACAAAATAAATTCTCTAGCCCCCCTACAGAATTTATTTTGTGATTTCCTCGTTTGTGAATAGACAACAAAGGAATAAATAACAAACACTTGAGGGAGAATGACAAGGAGGCTGCATAGACTCATATCTATCTACACAAATAGACACACAAGTAGAAGTTCCTCTTAGCCAATGGGATGCCTAAGAATGCCCTTCATTTATCTCCTGCCTCAGCACAGGGCATAAAAATGTAATTTTGTTCCGATTATGTAATTTTTTTACATTGTGTTTAATTTCTCTTTGAGAACATCACTCCTTTCTCATTTTGAAAGCTGCCAGTGATAAGACATTTCCCATGATATGCAGAGTAATGAACGACTGAGGATCAATAAGATCTATTAGGAAGAACCGAAGTAGTAGTGGCACTTTGAGTACAAACCCAACTCCAATGATGTGGACAAACATTGTGTTAAACATAAATAAAAACAGAAAACATGATTTGCATGTTTAACCTTTATTTAATTGAATATCCTACAAAGACAAAATATTAAATGTTCAAACTGATAAACATGATTGTTTTTAGCAAATAAGCATCAACTTTGAATATCATCATGGCTGCAACACCTTCTAAAAAACATGGCACAGGGAGCAAAACTGAGACTGAGAAAGTTGAAGAATGCTCATCAAACACCCGTTTGAAACATCTAGCCAGTTAACAGGCGAACTGGGAACAGGTGGATGCCATGATTAGGTGTAAAAGGCGTTTCCTTGGATTGCTCAGTCATTCACAAGCAAAGATGGAGCCAGGGTCAACTGGGTCATAAAAGAATCAAACAGTTTAAGGGCAATGTTCCTCATGGTACAATTGCAAGGAATTTTGGGATTTCATCATCTACGGTCTACATAGATGGCAATTTTCCGCGGATCCGCGGAAATCCGCCGTTTTATTTCTTAAATTGATCATTTTTGTGAATCGTCTAAATCCGTTGAGAAAATTTTAGGGGCGGTCAAGTACCTTATCGTCGAGTTTTCACGAGCTCTCCCGAACAGTCTCTCCGTTTTCCGTTTGTAATCAGCCCTGCGATTGGACGTGTATGAAAGCTTCAACTAATCAGATCACTGAAGGCATTATTTGTTGCGGAAGTCTTAGCTCAATTATATACGGCCCAGCGATTGGTTAACTACAAGCGATTGGACCAATCAAATTGCATGTAACATATTGTTTTACCTGATTCATGGCGGCCTGTTCGTCTCGCAAATTCATTGTTCTGGGATCGTTTTGAGCGGAATTATGAAATTTTTGACGAAAGATCAGGAGTCTTTAATCCTAGAAATTGACTCAAATGTCAAGAATAAATTCCGATGGGACTGGCTTGACAGAAAAGTCACTGTAAAGGTTAAAATTGGTTCCAAGTTCGACGAAGTTACAGAAGCTCTTGGACAATTTTTGAAGAAACCAGATGTAGCAGGCAAAGATTATTGTGTGTATTGGAGTGACTTAATTAACAGCGGATACAACTAAAGACGTTACTGTATGAGGTAAGAATCAACAGCTTTTTATCACATTTACACAACACTTTATGAATACAAGTCATGAACAAATCTTAAATATGGCAGGGAATGTGTTTATGTTTTGAGCAGCAAATCTGGAGTTACATATGCTCACCAGGAATGCATAAGCAAAATTGCACAACTTTTCACTTGAAAGAATAGTGGCGATCTTGGGATTTTTTTTCTGTTCAATTTTCAAATAGTGTGTAAATTCAATACACTTTATCTTCAGCATGTTTCGTGCCACTTTTATAAGTAACCACGCCCCCGGCCAGGCCACGCCCCTTCCGCTTTTTTCATCACTCGCCATTGCCATCTATGGGTCTATAATATCATCAAAAGGTCCAGAGAATCTGCAGAAATCGGTACAAAGCGGCAAGGCCGAAAACTGACATTGAAAGCTCGCGACCTTCGAATGCCTCAGGTGGCACTGCATCAAAAACCAAAATTGGTGTGAAAGGAAATCATCACATGGGCTCAGGAACACTTCAAAAAACCAATGTCAGTAAATAGAGTTTGGGGCTACATCCATAACTGCAACTTAAAACTCTACCACGCAAAGCAAAAGCCATTTATTAACAACACCCAGAAATGCCACTGGCTTCTCTGGACCCAAGCTCGTCTAGGATGGACTAAAAGTGAAAGTGTTCTGTGGTCTGACGAGTCAATTTTTCAAATTGTTTTTGGAAAATGAGTAGGTTGAATCTTCCGGACCAAATAGGAAAAGAACCATCCGGACTCTGCTGGACGCAAAGTTCAAAAAGAAGCATCTGTGATGATATGGGGTTGTGTTAGTGCCAATGGCATGGGTAATTTACATGTCTGAGAAGGCACCACTCATGCTGAAATGTACATACAGGATTATGGAGAAACATACACTGCCATCCAAGCAACGTCTTTTACATAGGCGCCCCATCTTTTTTCAGCAAAACGATGTCAAACCACATTCTGCACGTGCTCCAAACAGCGTGGCTTCGTGGTAAAAGACTACACTAGCCTGCCTGCAGTCCAGACCTGTCTCCCATTGAAAATGTGTGGCGTGTTATGAATCGTAAAATACAACAACCGAGACTACGGATTGTTGAACAGCTGAAGCTGGACATCAAAGAATTCCACCTGCAATGCTTTGACAATGAGTGTCCTCGGTTCCCAAATGTTGAATGTTGGTAAAATAAAAGGTGATGTAGTACAGTGGTAAACATTACCCTGTCCCCGCTTTTTTTTGGAACGTGTAGCAGCCATAAAATACCAAGTTAATGATTATTTACTAAAAACTAACGTTTATCAATCTTTGTTGTGTTTTCAATTAAATATTGTTTGAACATGATTTGCAAGTCATTGTATTCTGCTTTTATTTCCGTCCAACACAACGTTCCAACGTCATTTGAATTGGGTTTGTACAAGGAGCTATAGACATTGGGCTTTTAAGAGTTCGCATATTGATTTGCCCTTGGTTTGCTGCCTTGCACCACATTTATAGCCCAAACCAATCAGTATTGAAGATCTTTTAAAAAAAAAAAAAATTAATGTTGTATTAAACAGGCATTTAGCCACATGCTAATACTGTATTTTACACTGTACTGTATGACCTCAATAAGCTACTCTTCAGCGAATCAATCAGTGACTAGTCTGTCTACTTAATAAGTGACTAGTCTGGCAATTTTACAGCACCATTTTGAAACTGCTGAGTCAGAGAAGGAGATGACATATCACAACAGTGAAAAATGCTAAAGTAATGATTGTGAAATCGTCCTTCTGATCATTCCTGAATAATATCTCTGCCTTTGATTTACTGTAAGGTCATATGATCTGTACACATTTGCTAATCTTTCATTGTTCTTGCTTACCAAGCCTAACTGCACCATCAAATCCTTACTTGGATTACTAGGAAACAATGGTTTTTAATAATCCATAATTGATGTGGCTCAGGTCAGTTATTATTGTTCAAGCTTTTATTGGTATGGGAACATGAATCTAACACCTGTTACGAAACTGCCTCCACTCTGCTTCTGGAAACACCCTGAGAAGTATTAGCCTCGACGACCAGGTGACAAAAGTGGACATCCTACACAACATGGTGCTCAGCTTCCAGGACAAAGACTGGTGAAATGTACGTATAACATCCCTCTTGAGGACTGGTGTCGTCATCTAGAGCCATTATTCCTCACTCATGGTGCTATGTACAGTATTCATCAAACAGTATATTTACTAAATATAGAGGGTTGTGGCTTTCTGACATCATGATTTTCATCAAACAGTAAATATAGAGGGTTGTGGCTTTCTGACATCATGATATCGCGTGTTTGTGTGTGTGTGTGTGTGTGTGTGTGTGTGTGTGTATACACAGATATTTTCTCGCAACTGATGAATGTATGTACATATGCAACTGTTACATGGCTGTATTCTGGAGTTACACAGAGACTCTTCTGGTACCATATCTTTGAACGCAAGTGTTCATGGAAATTTGTCCTGGGAACTCTGAATGTGTACATACTGCAATTTAATATTTCAGTAAAGATGACTACTATTTTTTTCTTCTATCCAAGATGCATTCACAAATAAATCTGAAAAGAAACAATTCTCGCTCGAGTCCTTATTGAATAAAATAATTAATTAATTGTGATACTTCCTCACTTTCTTCCCATTTTTCTGCATAAATTATTGAATCTAAATGAATCATTGTTTCTGCCCTTTAACTTTTTAACGTGATACTTCCTATTTTTTCTTCCCATTTTTCTGTATAAATTATTTAATCTAAATGAATCATTGTTTCTGCCCTTTAACTTTGGACAATGGTTTCTCAAACTTTTTACACCATTACAACCTCAAAAACAGAGCAGATGTTTTATTCCTGAACAGTATATTTAAGATACAACTTTCTTAAGCAAATGAATTTAAATTAAATTCAACTGTACTCTACTCGGCAAAGGGAAAAATGTGCCATAGATGAAAGTAAAACATATTCTGTACTGGATTAAAAATGTTTAAACCAATGTAACATTTTGTACTTTTTCAACAATAACACTGCTGTTAAATGTAAGGACAGTAGAAAGATTAATACGTTAATATTTTAAAGCTTCATACGCTTTGGCCATGGGTGTACTACAGGAATCAATGGTGGAAATGTTCATTCTTGTTAAAAAAAAGTAATAATCCACTGCTTCGTCCCAAGTATTTGGTTTTATGTCCTCATTGCTCCGAACTTTGTCATATAGCACTCACTGTATATGACCATTGATACCAATGCTCCTGATACCTGCTCTAAAGTCTCTTATCATATATTCTATGTATTTTATTGGATAGAATTAAAATAAATCCTGAATAGCAGTTCTAAAAATGGAGAGGACAAGTTCGACAAATGCCCACCATGGATCCCAAGCAGGAGCAGGAGAAAGTATGCTTCAGCAACATAAACCATAGTTGGTGTACTGAATTCGGCATTCAGAATTACAATAATACATTGTAATGCTGTCTCAGAGGGGTACTTAGAAATAACTCAGCCTACATGTTAAAAACAATCCGCTGTTGAGGAATGTATGAGTGATTTCTCATTCTTGCCACCAGTTTTAGTGTGATTATGTTCATTCAAAGACACTGACAGCTGATAGGTTGCCTCTTGCAGTCTCATGCTTGGCCTGTCCAATGACTGCTTACTAATGTGTTATGTAATGTATCGCCTGAACGTGGGGCTGAGAATAAAAACTCCTGTGTCAAACTAAACACTCTTTTTAGACAACCAGAGAAGTGCTGGGTGTGCAAGCAGAGGTAAGAAAATAATCACACACACATAAATGTATGAATGTACTGTAAATGTTATATGTACATACACACATATATATATATCCTTCCTGACTAGACAGAGTGACACATCCACTACCTTGAGTTAACTGTGAGTCAATATTGCGATACAAACTCAAATGTGTTTCAAGATGGACCTTGCTCCCTGCAGAGGGCCGGGCTATTAAAGATTGAGCCAAGATTGGTGATGTAATCGGCTAGAGATTGGACTGATTGACTGTCTACCCAGACAGTAACTTCAACTGCATCCGTTTTCTAATGGATAACTATGCTCCAGGGGAAATTATTTTCAACATTTTTATGAATACATTTTATGCAAACTAAAGGTTTTCGGTTGCCCTAGCCTCCAATATCTCTCACAATATTGTCCTATTCTTGTTTATCACATTTCTGAAAATATCTGTGCTTCCATTCTTCTTGTAACACACACACTGTAATGTGTACACATACTTCAGACCACTCACGTTATGTTGAAAGCATCACTGTTACTCCCTTTCGTTCTTTGGACCCAGTTAGACAACAATGACTTGCATGTTTGCATCAAGAAAGCAATGACCGTACGGTATATCTCGAGTTTACATCATTTGCAAGCAGGTTAGTGCATGTTGGCATGAGCGTTATCATAAACCACCCACATGCTGCTCGTGCTCCTCGTTTCATTGTAATAATAACCTTACAGAGGATAAAGAAAGTCTACAAACTTTTGATGAAAAGCCTTTTTTTTGCGGTGATATCACAAAATGAGACCAAAATAAATAACTTAAAACCTTTTTCCACAATGACTTGGATTTATAACTTGCACAATATAACACGGCAAAAACAACTTTTTAGAGAGGAAGTACAAATACACAAGTGAGGTCACATGGCTGCAGAAGTGTACACACCCCCTTATAAATGAGATGTGGCTGTTTTCAGAATTAAACTATCACAATCAAATTCTTGTTAATCGTGAGTCAGCACACACCCCCTATCGTTTTAAGTGACTCTGATTAGCCCCAAACTAAGTTCAGCTTTTCGAGTAGGTTTTGCTTCACATTTTTGTCGTCACATCTTCCAGCACAAGTCACCCTACCAAAAAAGCTTCCGCAGCATCAAAAGGGATCCCATTGCTCAAACGGCATCAATCAGGAAACGGGTACAAAAAAAAAAAATCCATGACATCATAAAGACCATGGAACATAACAGTTTCAAGGACTGGTCACCAGTGACCACTCCAGAACTACTGAAAAGACAAGAAGAGAACAGGTCAGGGAGGCTTTCAAGAGGCCGACAAATATTAAAGGAGCTTCAGGAATTTCTGGCAAGTAGTGGCTGTATAGAATATGCATGTGCCAATGTGAGTTATTATCCGATGAACCCAAGGTTGAATATTTTGATCATAATTCCAAAATTTATGTTCGAGAATGTCAACGCTGCCTATGTTCAAGGACACGGCCCCCAGGGGGGATTCTGAACACTTCCAAATATTGGTCCGGGTCTTTGCACGAAACCTTTAAGTTTCTGCTCGAAAGCAAAGGTATGTCAGGAAAAGCCGAGGAAAGCAGCTGAACTTTTATTTGGGATTAAACGAAGACACTTTAAATGGTTGCAGGTCTAATTTTATGAGTTTGAATGTGATTAATTCTGAACACAGCCACATCTCCAGCTTTAAGAGTGTGTGCATATTCGTGCAAATGCTTCATTTCAGTTTCATTCAGTCTCTAAAAGGTTTCATTTTTATTTTCAATTGAGTTGTAGAGAGTATAGGTGATATTAATGGAAGAAAACATCACGAAATAATTCACCTTTGTCTCAATTTTTTACATCACCTGGTTGACAATTTTAAAACCCCCCCCAAAACAAAACAACTTGATTATTATATGCATTTATTTGTCTGATATTGAACCCCTTTATACCTCAACCCTCTAGACCACTCCGAGCCTGAGGATGAAGATTGCTGTGATTGGTCAGAGTCAGTTTGGTCAAGAGGTTTACAAGGAGCTGAGAAGTGAGGGCCATACCATTGTTGGAATATTCACCATACCCGACAAGGATGGCAAGGCTGACCCACTGGGTAAGAAAATCAGATGTTGAGAGGAATTGGATATGCATGACCTTTGATTTTAGTGTATTGGTTTTGATTTTTTTTTTTTTTTGTTGTTGGTCTAGATTGTCATCTAAGAGGTCTAGAAATGTATTGAATTTGATATGCGGCACAAGATGGTCAAGACTACTGAAGTCAAATGACTGCAATTTTAATTGCATTTGTGAATCTAGATATTGCAAACGTCATTGAGCAGACACTGTTTTAAAGTCCTTGGAAAGTCAAATTTTTAAAAGTTTTCAAAATTTGATACGGCCCACAGAAGGGTGTCTGTCAAAAAATATCTGCCCAAAGCCTCCTATGGCTGAAATATATCCCGCCAAGTCCTCGCGGAGCTTTGCCATGCTGTAATGTAAATGTGCAAGATCAGGAAAACTGAAATGGTGAACAACAATTGAATGGCATATCACCACAACTGAGTGCTAAATAGCTCTGCATCTTTACACATATCTTTCAGCCATTATCTTCAAACATGTATACAGTTGACCACCCTTATTCGCAAGGGATAGCGAACGAGCCCTGCAAAATAGCAAAAATCCATGTATAATTTAAGATTACAATGATTGGATCGAAAGAAAAAATAAAATATTATTTTGTTTAAAATGCCAAAAGTTCTTGAATAAGCATGCATAAAGAGGCAATACGTTTTTGGCAAAAATTGAAGAAAATGCAAAAATAAATTAAAAAATAGATAAATCTGTGCATGCCAAACTGCGAGTATCCAAAGGTGACAGGGTCTTTGGTAGAATATTTACAAACGGATCTCTGAATTCACTTTACAGGATCTTTAAGTGGTATTGTTTTTGTCAGTGTTTGTTCGTAAGAAGATATCACATCCGCTATTCGCAACCTTTACAACCTGCTCTTTACGCAGTGCCATCAGCCTTAAGTATACCGTATGAATAGCCTAGTGGCCCGTGCATATCACATTTCTTTATTGGCCAACAAAGGAGTAACAATTTGTGATTTACGGCCTCTGCCTCATAAAATGCGTCCTCGTTTATTCAAGAAAAGCACATGTGACATTAAATGCAAGAGCTGCAGTATTCCTGTGATGTACCTTGCTTGGTGCGCCAGCATTTTGTTTCAGTTGGTCCATATAGTGTGAGCGCTTCATGTGTTAGCGATGACTTTCAGTCATAATGTACAGTGTGAGTTGAAATATTATTCCTTTCAGGGACAGCGGTTACTACAGTGGACAGCCTATCATGTTATCAGGTTAGAGGTTATCTTTATTGGTGCGTGAAAGGGTTACAGTAACTTCTAAACCCATTCACTGAATGTCCAGCTCTATCCACCAGTGAATTATCCCCTGATTAACTTTGCAAAGCAAATGTTCGGTTGAAGTAGTAACACTAACTCATGACAATTTACTGGATGCACAATATCTGAAATATATGTTAAGATTGTATTTATTTCACTCGTCACGTCATGATTTCTGTTTCGTTATAAAGTAGGAGCTGTCGCAATTGCAATGGCACTTATTTTAGTCTCACCACAAGAGAAGCACTGACCTTTGAAGAGAACGATATCAAGGATAATTATAAATAAGAGTACGCTGTTATAAGGGTGTGGGTGGAGCTTGGTAGACTTTTTAAAGGCTTGCTGGATAGCAGGAGCAACAGGAGGAACTGGGTTCGATTCCAACTCCGGCCTTCCTGTTTGGAGTTTGTATGCTGTCTCCATGCCTGCATGAGTTTTCCCTACACATTCCAAAAACATGCACTATAGGTTAATTGTATACTCGAAAGTAGGGGTGTCCAAAGTCACTTCTCAGGGGCCGCCGTCCTGCCTGTTTTCCAGCTCTCCCAGCTGCAAGACACCTGATTCAGTTGATGGCTCATCAGCCAGCTCTGAAGCAGCATTAGAACGACCCTGATTATTTGAATCAGGTGTGTTGCTCCCTAGAGAGCTGGAAAACAGGCAGGACGGCGGCCCCTGAGGACCGACTTTGGACACCCCTGCTCTAAAGTGTCCTTAAGTGTGAATGTGAGAGCAAATGGTTGTTTGTCTATACGTATGTGCGTATAGACACATACGGGCAGTAGGCGGGTGTCCCCCGCCTACTGCCCGAAGACAGGACCCTTGTTGGGATAAAGCGGATCGGAAAATGGATGGATGAATATATCCAATAATATATCCAGGAATGCCTCCAGGAACTCCCTAGTCCTACGCATCGAGTCACTGCAGTTAGTTATCACAATCCCAAGCACAAGCCGTCATTTTTAACCTTGTTTAACAGCTTTCAAATATTTAACCTTCTATTCTTCTCCTTGGTGACTTCAACTTCCACATGAACAACTTTAACTTGGAAACATGCCGCTAACTTTCTGCTCATCTGCCTCAACTACAAGCAGCATGTTAACTTCCTCACCCACATCAAAAAACACACTCTGGACCTAGTCTGCTCCACCGGTCTCGACATCCAACAACTGTCCAGCACAAAGCTCTTTTTCTATTACACCCCCAAACTCTCATCCGCTCACTTTAATGCAGAAGGACTTTCCAGTGATTCAAATACTCAGTGAAGTAAGTTCTTGAATTCATTGAACAAAATTCCTTGAAATGCATGTCAGCAAAATTGTTGGACAGAATGAAAACTTCAAAAGCCTGTCGCGATTTTTCATGAGCATAATCGACCATCGCTATTTGTGGGTGATAGGAATCGGGTAGTCCGGCGAATTGCCAAAAAATGCATGTAATTGTTGGACACTGAAATGCATTGAAAATAAAATTAAAATAAAATGCAAAAGTATTCTTTAAAAATCGCTGATAAATATTCAAATTTTTGAAAGTGCTTGGGGTAGGGAAGTTTATTTTAGTTTCTCAACCTGATCAGCTGTTTTTATCCACACCACACCAGGACAGTTCTGACAAAGGCTGCAATGACAGCCAAAACTGTCATCAAGGTAAAAGATTGTTCTGTTCTTGGAAAAAAAAAACAATTGCCTGGAGTAAAGAAACTTTAAAACTATTTTTAAAATAAGAAGACAAGATACAGACGTGACTTTCATTACCCTCCACCACCAGGAAAGATTGGAAGATTGCAGAGATGGGCAGTTGACCTTATTTTGCCGGTCCATCCTACAACCGCAACCTGACATCAATGTACAGTCAAAAAGGAGGCTTCTCCATGCAAGTTCCACTACCTGCAATCATGAGCAGTTTTTACATAGGAGGACTTGGAAACCAAAGCCATTCAAACCGCACCCCCGCAATATAAACAAACACTTTAGAAATGATAGCTTCATGGCTAAGTGCACACTACAGTGGTAGAAATTGGTATCGGTTTTATTACTAAATAACTCGCAATTGCAACGGATAGCCACTGATTAAATGATGCCACTCAGTACGTCTATTATAGTGGGGTAGGCCCGACTCATGGGCAGAAAGTATGGCTAAGCCCAAGTGGATACTTGGGCTAGTTTTTAGCGCTGGCCAAAAAAATCAGCGAAATGCGGGTTAAAATTTATTTCAGCGGGTGTTGATAAAATGTTTGGCCGGTCATGTGTGAGCCAATTGTGTCGGCATTTCTGCCTAATGAACGTTTGTGTGAACATTCTGGTGTCTGTGGATGGTTTTCGAATGAGAGTTAATTTTTGTTCGAGAGTGCCAGGTTTCATTAGATTTCCAGGAGAAAACCCAGCTAAACACATGGTAAGTGAACCTTTAATGGAGGGGGATAAACACCATATTTGTCAACATAAGACACGCAGCCTCGCGCGGCAATATGTGTCATCAAGAGCATGCTGGAAGTTCCGAAAAATAGCCTGAGGTGAGGCAACAAAAAGTAAACTAAGCTCAAGTTTTGAAAGGGTTATTGACTGCATGTCAACATAGTCACTGGGGAAATGCCAGCTGGCTATTTTGAGGGTACTGGCTCGCATCAGGGCACCCCGGTGGGCCAGTGGTTAGCGCATCGACCTCACAGTGCAGAGGTTCAATTCCAGCTCCGGCCTCCCTTTGGGGAGTTTACATGTTCTCCCGGGCCTGCGTGGGTTTTCTCCGAGTACTCCGGTTTCCTCCCACATTCCAAAATCATGTGTGACAGGTAAATGGAAAATTCCAAATTGTCCCTCGGTGTGAGTGTGAGCGCGGATGGTTGTTCGTCTCTGTGTGGCCTGTGATTGGCTGGCAATCAGTTCAGGGTGTCCGCCACCTACTGCCCGAAGACAGCTGGGATAGGCTCCGGCACACCCCACGAGTCTTGTGAGGATAAAGCGGTTTAGAAAATGGATGTATGGATGGATGGCTCGCAGCATGTATTTAAAAAAAAAAAAGGAACTGAAGTAATTTTAGCTTGTCGGAACAGTGAACTTAGTTTTTACAGATTTTTGCATGATGAACTATGGACTGAACTAGTTCCTTTTAGAAATTGTGAAATGAACTTTGTACTAGTCCGTATAGAAAATGAACTTTCTCAACAGTGGCTGCGCAAATGGCGGTATTTCGCGCTACAGTCTGGAGCAGGCATTGGGCATTAACTATGCAAAGGGGGCCATCTGAGAAACATGAGGGATGGAGTAGTTGGGAGTAGGGAGAGCTTTAAGTCAGGATATGGCTCTCGAGGAACCGGAGTTCACTACCCCTGTGCTAACCTAAACTTTGTCTAGATTATTTTTAATGTATTAAGATAAAGCATTAAACTTACATTTACACATTTTGTGCACCAACCGCCAAATCTTAGTCATTTCTAGTCCCAAATTCGTAGATAAGTGGGAAATATAATATAATTGACAGAGATGTATACAGTGATGACTTACAATACCGGTACACCCAATATGTCCTGTGTATGAAACTAGAATTTCGCAGGGTATTATCACGCCAAATCTTCTTGGCGCTCCTACCTTAACCGTGCAAGAAATAAAACTGTTGCTAACATCAGGATGACTTGTCATTTTTAGCTCATCTCTTTTAAGGAAAAGTAGTTGCTAGATTAGAGGGGTTAGAAAAGTTGGCTACACTGGTGAAGCAAGTCATAGCTCTTACTCGCTGCCTCGGTTTTACTAGTGTCCACATATAAAATAAAAGCAGAACTTCCAAAATAAAACCACCACATATTTTACGCATTATTTTGACTTTATCATCACCGTAAGGTCTGTTCAGAGACTCTTGGTGAGCTGGTGGTAGAACCTAGGCTGTACTTTGCCCAGTCTACTCTCATCTAGCGTGCAACCAGCGCGACAAACAGAGATAGTGTGAGGGAGGTAGATAAAAATAGTGGAGCTAAAGTTAAAAAAAAAAAAAAAAGTCTGTGGAAATTCTGATTGGCTGGGGGATCGAAAATGTTATTTTGGAACCCTGGTTATATTTAAAAACAAATCACGAATGTGACTTAATGGAGCTTTATTATAGAAACTTAAGAAAATAAATGAAGTCCTCCTTTAATTTGAAAAGGGTTACTATTTTAAAGATATGAAAATCCCAATTTACAGCAGCAAAAATTATGAAAGGGAGAAGTAGAAGAACAAAAAGTAAATAAGTAAATATAAATTAATAAAATATAAATATAAGATAAATATAAGTTGTCCAAAAAAACTTTAAAAAGGAAGAGAAATGAGAAGATCTATATTTGGTTCTTTTGCTTTAAGATATTCATGCAAGTGAACATTTCTGTAACCCAGTTACAGTAAAACACTGATCCCTGCGTGGAATAATTGATGAAAAGCCAGTAGCAACTTCAATCCTTCAAGTTAACTCCTTTTTTCCCATATACAGTACCGTAAATTCCGGATTACAAATCGCTACTTTTTTCCACACGTTCAACACTGTGGCGTGTAATATGAAGCGGCTTTTTAATTTTTTTTTTCCATCGCGGGAAAAACATGGACCAATAAAATGAATGAGTAGTTCACTGAGGTCCAATGAGATTGTATGACTAATCACAACTTCCCCTCTTTTCGCCGTAGCGGGGAAAAATGTGTTACCCGGCAACAGTCGACCAATAAAATGAATGAGTAGTACACAGGGGTCCAATGAAATTGTATGATTACCGGTAATCACAACTTCCTTATTTCAGTCTTTCTTCTAACCCTGATCAACATGGAGAATACCAGATGAAAAGCATATGATGCAGCTTTTAAACTAAAAGCGATCACTCTGGCAGTTAAAGAAGGAAATCGAGCTGCTGCCCGTAATCTTGGCATAGACGAGTCGATGGTGCGAAGGGGGAGGCTCCGGCAAGAAGAAGTGAGCCAGTGTAAAAAGACAACCAAAGCTTTTAAAGGT